ATATATATATATATATATATAAAATGTATTCTTCATTCCAACTTTTGCACTGTATTCTTGCATTCCTCCCTGAGGTGTTTGGGTCATACCTTTTAGCACCAGGGGAGTTCACAAACTCCTATATTAAATAATAAAACTTGGTCTAATTCTGTTCATGTTGCTGCCTCAAAGTTGCTGCTAGCTATTATTGCCTAAGGAAGTCTAGGGAACAGATCCTAAGTTCTATAAACAGGTGTATATGTTGTGGTGCTTTCCTGTGGTGCCTTTACACAGAGCTTTCTAACAGGAGAACCCTAAGTCACAGATGCCTCTGATTTTGAGGAACATAACCGTAAGTTGCATATTACACGGGGAAGCATTGTAGGTTTGCCTTTAGATGACTAATCATCAGTGCCATTTCATACTGTGTTCTTACTAGTATTTCATAGACCTGAAAATTTCTTGGATTTAAACCTGGTAGAGCAAAGGTTTGCAAACAAGTCAGAGTACTTGTTACAAAGAGAAGGAAGTAAAAAAATTATCTGTGCTACACTGTTTTTATTAGTATGTTTGGCTAAAAGGCTCTTCCTACCCTGTCTGGTGCATCTTTGATGAATACGTTTGATCATTTGTATACAAAATGTGGCGAGTGTGATGGATGGAGTTAGTGTGCTTACTATTGATCTGTTGTTTGATACTTTTCTTGTAATATATGTAGTTACATATATGTGTGTGTTTATTTTAATTTATATTTTAATCTTGTTTTGCTCAGAACATTTGAAAGAGTTACAGACAGAATATGGAAAGCTACAGTCGGATGTTTATTGGTTTCAGAAGAACCAGACTAACCTTCAGAAGAAGTTCTCATATGATCTGTAAGTATGTTCTTTCTAAAAGATGGCTTCCAGAGTTGTAGGTGACTTGGTTATAACCCAGATTATTCTTATGGTAGCTGTAGCACTGTTGATAAAAATTCTTAGGGAGAAAGTAACAGCTGACACACGTTCTAAAATTGCTCACAGTTGACCTTGGAGAAGAGCATAGACCTTGCAACACTTGACATCTCAGTATCCCCAGGCTTCTGCTGTCCTTGACATTGCTTATATTGCAGGAAGAGAAGGGTAGCAATATTCTCATTTAAGAGTTGTGGGAGCAATTGAAGCACGAAGAGACTAAGCTTGGAAAAAGTTTAAGAACTGAGATATGGGAGTATCTAGTGAGAAGCTGTACCTCATTGAGCTGTCAGAAGCCTTGGAATTATCATTTATTATTATTGGTACAATTATCAGAGCTGTATATTCTGCGTTCTTATTGCTCTCCACAACTAAATGAAGTTGTAGTGAGGTGGGTGTTGATCTCTCCTTCCAAGTAATACAAGACAAGAGCAAATGGACTCAAGTTGCATGAGGGGAGGTTTAGATTGGATATTAGGGCTCTTTAATGAGTCGTGAGGCATTGGAACAGGCTGCGCAGGGAAGGGATGGAGTAGCCATCCCTGGAGATGTTTAAGAAAACATGTAGACCTGGCACTTTTGGATGTGGTTTAGTGGTCATGTTAGTGTTGGGCTGGCAATTGTACCTGATGATCTTAGGCTTTTCCAGCCTTTGTGATTCTGTGCATTACTGTTCATACCTAGTCATGTGTTTTTGTTGAAACTTCCCATCGTATTATAAGGCATGGATAACAACACAAGGCTTCTTCAGTATCCTTACATTAAATACACATTTCTGTTATTTCTAGGAATTTCTCCTGGTTTCTTTCTGTTCAATAGTATTGTTCCCTCTACTTGTCTTCACATCCTATTGTATCTTCCCTCTGGTACATAGATACAGAAAACCAACAGAATTGGCTGTTGGCATGTTCTCGTAATGAGTTTCCATCAAGAACGTAATTGTTCTAGTCATAGGTATTTTTCCAGCACGCACTGTTGTGGGAATTACAATTAGAAGTTCAGTGTGGCAATCAAAGAATTTGAATTCTCCAGGCCAAACCTGAAATACCTTTTTTTGCTTTTCTTTTCTCCTGTGTGAGAATCAAGAATTAGTGCACTTACTGATTACTGGTTGGTTGTGAACCTTTTTATTTTTTTTTATGGATATTATTTCTCATTTAATAAATAAGACCCAGATAGATGGTATTAGTGAGTTCTAATAATTTAGGAGTTCTAACAGAAAACTAGACAGAAGTTGGAGACTTAAGTTTGTAACAACTTTTTTTAATGCTATGTTGCACTTATGTGTCTGTTAAGGTACTTTTTCCATCTACGTCTGTTGTATGCCGTGGCTGTTAAGCACCGTCTTTTTGCTGTTCAGTTTAATGACAGAGCCGGGACTTGTGGGCCTCTGTTGACAGTTCTTTGCTAGTTTGAGTATCTGTTGGCCAGCATCTTCCTCAAAAGGCTGCGGTCAGCGAGAGTAAATGGATCTGCAGGTGTACGTGTGCGCTGTACAGTCACACGCTACACAGGGGCTACGTCCTTGAAGCACTGGGTGGATAGACACATGCAGGCAAGTGACACAAGGCAAATGTAGCGAGTCTGGCTTCTGAGAACTCACTTTTATTGCCCATGTCTGCTGAAATGCTTTCAAGTGCAGCTCCGTTAAGGAAGTGGCTGATGAAGCATCGCGGCTCATCGCTGTAAAGAACCCTTCATTTAACAGGAGGCGGCTGGATACAGAGGGTGCAGCTCCAGGGTCGAGGTGAAGAGCTAAACAAGTTACAGTGGTGAAGATGGGTTTGCTTGTATCAGGGTCGATGTAGAGACAGGTGTGATAGTTCAGCTGTGTGCTAGCTGAACAGGAACTCAGCTAGCTGATTTCTCTCCAGCTGGTCAGGGGACAGGTGCATTATTTCTTACAGTCTGTCCATGGGAGTCCATGGGAGTCTCTGTCAAGGGGCTTTGCTTTCTTCATTAGTTTTGCTGAGTAACACTTGAGTGCTCATTTTCTACTTCTGGATTTTTTTTTGTAGCTGTGCAAGTGAGGAAAACAAATCTTGCACTCATTTTCATAGAAATTTCTGTAGGTTGGGCACCCTGTAGCTTTCAAACAATTCTAGCAGGAACATGTATAAATTTTTAATTTTTTTTTAATGTTGCTTTTTGTGTACCCTTAGTACACAACATTGGAACATTAAAACTCCATTGTTGTAGTAAGTTATGTTACTAACTTTGCATTGTGTTCTGGTAGTTGTAGAAATGGGCGTTTGATTGCACTTGATTATATACAGTCTTCTTTGCTGTTATTAAATGCTTTCAAAAAACATTTTCCCTATGTGATTATGGGCCTAGATAAAGGCTCCAAAAGTTAATTTAATCTCCCTCTTTCCAGAGTAAACTAAGTTGTTGCTTCTCTGTTCATCTTCAGTAAGCCTTGACAGGAGAGGGTGGTAGTTAGACCTGCTTTTGTGCCATGCCACTGTTTCTTCCCTTGACTTGGAACAGTATGGATGAAAGTGGAAAAACGGAGAGAAGATTACTGTGTAACTGAAACTGTTATAAAAAGATGACAGAAATCAAACACCTGTTTTTAACTAAACACATTGTAAATCAGTCTTTTTAAGCAACCCGATGCTGTACCATAGGAAACAGTGGTGAAATTGGTTGTGCATGTGGATTGTATGAGAACAAAATTTGTAATTCAGAAGGCACAAAACTAAATGTTTTTTTCTTGTACCCTAGTCTTGAAGTTCCATCTCAGCTTTTTTTTTTTTTTTTTTTTTTTTAAAGCAAGCTTACTGTTTTCCATACAGAAGTCAGCAGGAGTTAAGTGAGCTTGCTGGCATTGAGTGCAAGAGGTGTGCATGTTCCTTGGCTGTTGGCTTATTGCAATAACCTCGCTGCATGCTGCCCAGCACTGCCTGCTCGCGGTAGAGCTTGTTCAGCAAAGACTGAGCCTTCTCTCCTGCAGCAGCCAGAGAGAAATGGAAGCCTCTGGACTGATCTACTGAAGATATTTCAACTTTCGGTTGCATTTTGATTCCTTGGAGCTTTGTTTGTTTCGCAGAGAGTGTCCCTCACCCAGGAAAGGCTTAAAAAGGCATTTAATGAGAAGTGGGACAGGCTGATCAGGTGCAGGGCAAGGGCAGGCAGGCATATCCACCAGCAACATGTCTGCGTGCGACCAACTCTGCTTATCTGCTCGCCTCTCTCTTTTCTGGTACTCGTTCCTGCCAGACATCCATCCCTTTCCCTGCCTTTGGTGCCATAATTAGTCTTGTACATAGTCTACCCCTGCCTCCCATGGTGTGTCCCCCACCCTGAGCAGGAAACACCTTGGTCCTTTTGCCTCATCTTGATGGGTTTCATGCCAGGACATGGGGTTCTGAGGCTGACCCATGACAGCCCTTGGTCTGTGGGGTGGTCTGGACAGGTTGTCCCTTCTTCTGAGTCCATAATTCAGGTTCCTTGCTGCCTCTGTACTCCTCTTGGGCTCATGGAAGTGGCCCTTGGGTGGGCTTATGGCTCCTGTGATGGGCCTAGGAGCAGCTGGGGAGGGCATTTTTTGGACTCTTGTGTGCACAGATGATCTCTTCATCATAGAAACTATCTCTGCTTAATCTGCTTAATTAACACTGCACAGACTGAATGTAAGAGTGCTGGTTTTACCTGTTTGAAGTATGTCGTGGTTGGGATCAGGTGTAGAAACTAGTGCTATTCTTGTGCTTCAGAAGTTGTCATATGTGTAGGTAGAGCATTCAAATGTCCAGAAATCTCTTTTACAAGAGGGGAATTTTCACAGACAATAAATTTGAAATTAGAATTTTTTACAGATGTTAAGTTTTCATAAGGAGCATTTGCAAAATTTTGTTTTATCTCCAACTTCAGGTTGTCTCTGTACTGTATCCTTCTCCAGCTTGTAAACTGAGTTGCAGACAGTTCTTACGTCCTTGTATTTCCTAGAAATTAGTGAATGTGTGCATAACTCAGGCCTATGATTTACTGCTTCAGATGTTCACCAGCTTAGAAAGAAGTACTGGTTTTGCTCACTCTTCCACATGTTAGTGCTAGCAAAACCAGACTTCAGAATAATGCCTAGTCAAGAAGAAATAGTAATAAAGGTAATTAATTTGCCACTTCATAGCATATCTGTCTGCCACTCTTCTTCCTTTCTAGGTGTGAACTACAGAACAGATTTTGTGCTTTTAAAAAGCAAGGGTGGAGAAGGATGAACGTGCAGTAAAAAGGAGGGACTTGCTGTTGTAGAGGGCACAAAATGGATTAGGTAGTAACTTATTTGCAGCTCAAGAAACTGGAGCATGACCATCTGAATCATCTGCTGTTACACCAGGGGTATGAGCACTCTAACAGACCCAGGCTCAGAAGTTTGTCCCCCTTCTGTCTTAGTGAGGGGGAGGTAAAACCTGTGGTATATTGACCATGTTTTTGCACAAAGGGTGCTGAGGGAGGTTTTGCGTGCAGGAAGATGTGTTAGCAGGATATGTAGCTGATCGTATGCATTGAACTCGGTTACTTTAGAGTGGGTAAAAAACAAGGGGGAGAGGGAGAAAAGGAAAAATGGTTTAACACCCCTCCCCAATAAACTCCTTTGCTGCTGGGGGCAGCAGGGAAGAGAAGCAGTGTAGTCCCCAGCCAAAGCCTCGGGCACACTCTCCAGTGCGGTGGGTGCAATGACGATGATGGTTTTCCACCACATTTTTGTCTTCTGCGATGCACTCCTCATCAGGATACACTCAAACCCACTATTGCTTGTTCCTGCTCATGGTGGGATCAAAGCACTCTTGAGGTTCCTAAGCCTTCTGCATGTGTCTCATGGGGAAGTACTTTTCTGCTTTGTTATTCCTAGGTCTTGTTCTTCATCTAATATAAACTGCAAATTACAGGATGGGTTATGAAGAGAGTGAGGGAGAAAGTGATGTGATCTTGCTCTGACAGCAAACCTTACTGCTTTCTCTTCCCAACTCAAATTCAAGTGCTGTGTATTTCTGTTATCATACTAGAAACACTTCAAGCATCAAAGTTGAATTTTAGTTCATTGGAATTGACTGATTAGTGAAAGACGAGAATTCATGTAGCTTGTTGAGCTGTTCTAACAAAAACAGTTTAATTTCTTCCAGTAGAACTTGAACTGCCTACCCTGTGAGTTTGTCCTTAGGACTTAAGTTAACACTCCATTTTTTACTACTAGGCTTCTCAAATGGAATCACAGTTAATAGACCTAAGAAAATAATAAAATGAGGAAAAAAAAAGGGGAGAAATAAATCATTTTATAAGAGATGTGGATGAAAGTTAACAACTGCTTAGTTGTTCATGTTTTCTCCAGGTCACAGTGCATCAACAAGATGAAAGAATTTAAAGAACAATGTGAAGAAAGGATAGATGAGCTTACAAAAAAGAATAATGAAGTACCACAAATCAAAGAAAATAAAGACTTCTCAAAAGATTCCAAAAAAGATAGCCAGGTATGGTTTGCATAATTTCTTAAAAATATTTTTTTATGTTTCATAGAGGTTTTTTTTCACCTTTCTGCTGTCTCCAACTAACATTAACCCATCTGGTTAAGTTTTGCACTGCTTTCCTTCTACATCTGTTGAATGTTTCTGGTCTATGGGAAATGAAATAATTCCAAGGACAGAACAGAGAGGTCCTACAGGAGTCTCCAAATCACTGTGTTTCTGAGATGGGCAGAATTTGAGATGTGATGCTGGGAGTGGTGTGGGGCCTATTAGGGACTGTCACAGAATCACAGCATGTTAGGGATTTGGAAGGGATCTTGAAAGATCATCTAGTCCAACCCCCCTGCCAGAGCAGGACCACCTACAGTAGGTCACACAGGAACGCGTCCAGGCGGGTTTTGAGTGTTTCCAGAGAAGGAGACTCCACACCCTCCCTGGGCAGCCTGTGCCAGTGCTCTGTCACCCTCACAGTGAAAAAGCTTTTTCTAATGTTTTTGTGGAACCTCCTATGCTCCAGCTTGTACGTTTTGCCCCTTGTTCTGTCATAGAATCATAGAATGGCCTAGGCTGGAAGGGACCTTAGAGATCATTTAATCCAACCTCCCTGTCATGGGCAGGGACGCCTCTCAACTAGATCAGGCAACACATGGGGACCGAGCAGGGATCAAACCCATTGGACATTCCTGAGAAGAGCCTGGCTCCGTCCTCCTGACACTCACCTTTTATGTTATTATAAACATTATTGAGGTCACCCCTCAGTCTCCTCGAGGTTAAAGACACTCAGCTCCTTCAGCCTTTCCTCATAAGGGGGATGTTCCACTCCCTTCATCATCTCTGTGGCTCTGCGCTAGACTCTCTCAGGCAGTTCTTTGTCTCTCTTTAACTGAGTGGCCCAGAACTGGACATGACATTCTAGTATTTGTACTGCTGCGCTTGGGTTCACAGCTCCTTTGGTAGAATCACAAAGATTGGAAAAGACCTCTAAGATCATCACTCCAACTGTCAGCCCAACACCACCATGACGACTGAACCACGTCCATGTCTACACGTATTTTGAACACCTGCAGGGGTGGCGGCTCCGCCACTTCCCTGGGCAGCCTGTTCCGATGCCTCACCACTCTCTCAGTAAAAAATTCTTTCCTAATATCTAATCTAAACCTCCCCTGGTGCAACTTGAGGCTTTTTCGTCTCTTCCTATCACTTGTTACTTGGGAGGAGAGACCAACACCCACCTCACTCCAACGTCCTGTCAGATAGTTGTAGAGAGCTATGAGGTCTCCCCTCAGCCTCCTCCAGACTAAACAATCCCAGTTCCCTCCACTGCTCCTTATAAGACAAAGGATTTGGTTGCTTTGTGTGTTAAAGATGAGGGTAAACTGTGAATCACGTCTGAGTGGCTGCAAGCCTTGAATATGTTGTACTCCAAGTATCTTTGAGGTCCATCCACTATGAATTTTCACAGAAGTCCTAATGTCAGCCTTTTACTGTAGGAATGAGAGGTACATCAAATCTCTTAACTGTTTGCCTTTGGATGTTTTGTGTCAAAGAACTACCAAAGGCGTTCTTGTATGTGACGTGAGAAGTCTCACAGGGTTGGGGCAGGCTTGCTGCGTAGGCTGGCTGTGTGCCAGCTGACTCTCTCTTCCTGTGGTAGAGAGTTAAGGGGGTAGTGCTGAGAAAAGGGAGTTCCAGATCATTGTGTTGTCTCGGCGTGTGGATTATTGATGCTTCAGTGGAGCAGGACTTGGTCAGGGATAGGACTGTGTTGGTTAAGCTTTGATACATGTGGCCCTGGGAGAACACGCAGCGAAGCTCCCGAGTGAGAAGGCAACTGATTTATTTTTGTGTAGTGAGGTAGCCCTTTCTTCAGCGCTGCGAGCACCAGCTACAGAGGTGATTGCAGTGGGGTCTTCCCCTCATGCCTGACCAGCCAGCTGGCGGGGCTTTGGTGGCATCTGCCCTTTCCCTTGGGCCAGGGAAAGGCTGCTGGCAGAAATGGCATAGTGACCTCAGAAACAGGAAGAGTAAAGCGATGAGGATTGAAACTGGGTTTTGGAAATGGGTGGGAGAAAATGGCTGAAACATCTGCCCAGAGTTCCTGAGGTGTTCAGGTAATGATTCCAGTCTGTGTCCCATCCTTCATGTAAAATAGCAGAAGAGAGAACTGCTGAAGGCTGTGACCTTTTATTCTGGGAACCTGCACTGTATGTGAGCTGCAAGATGCTTGAAGCGTTAGAGCCAGGAAATGCTAATTAGCTATCCCTTTACTACACACACACACACAAAAATTAAGCACTTGTTTGTCAGTAATTTTTATCAATGGTGTCGTAAGTAAATAAAAAGTAATAATGGTAATAACAAATATAGAGTAATAAGTAAATAAAAAAAGACCATCAATTGGAGGTGAGACATTTGTTTGTCAGATGTATCTTTTTTAATGTCTAGATGTAAAATGCTATTTGGAAAGGTGATGTGGGGATGTACAGGAGAGGTGGTCAGTTTAATTTCGTTAGTGTGGCTTTGCAGCATATTTTCATTATAGTTAGTTGCACCAGATGCTTTTTGCTTGTTTGTTTTGCTGTTTGCCTTTTTATTTTTTTTATTTTTTTTTTATCTTTTCCTAGTTTGGAAGGGAAATGATCCCAGAAGGGACCTGAGGAGTTTGGCCTAAGCCCCCCTGCAGGACAGTTTCAGGCTCTTGCAACAGGTCCCATCGCTGGAGACAATCTTTACTCAAAGCAGGCAGTAGGTTAGGCAGGCCAGGTTGTACGTTCTCCTTTTAATGGATAAATGGGGTGGTCCCAGATGAGATAACCACTAATATAGCTACAACCTAGATGAATTCTGTCAGCTTGTATTCCCTAGTATCTGTGACCATATTTCTTGCCCAAGGATTGATTCCAACCTTTTGCTTTGCAAAAGCTGAGTTAGTTATTGTTAGTGCAAGGTGACCCTGAGGAAATCTGTATATGTTTTTACCTAGAATAACTCCTGTTCTTAAGATGTATGTGCTTCTGTAATGGAAAGGCCAGAGTTAAAATGGAGTGTTGGTTCATTAATAAATGTACAGCTTTTCTTGTAGCTCTGCATTTTAAGGAATGATGTATGTTTTGCAGCCTGTTCTGATTATTCTATTTTTATCCAGCTACTTCAACTGAAAAAAAATTCAGCATACACTTTTAAATTTATTTCGTTTCAAATTACTGGGCTATAAATTTAAGATAATGTAAGCCAAGGGCTTTTGCATGTTTAAGTAAGAAGTAATTTCTTGCTGTTAAGTGCAGGCTCAGTATTTTTACAGAAAAATAATGCCTAGCATAAAGTGGAAAATGATCTTACGTTCAGTTTCTGAAGATTTTTCACTGTAGAGAGTGACCTCAAGAGGCTGAATTATTTATAAAACAGAAACATTTTAAAATACACCGTCTTTGTTTTAATAACAGGAGGTTGGAGTTCTTCTGGTTAGTGCAGGGAGGATATTAAAATATTCTGTGGTAATAATAATGCTAGATTGCTTGTTGGTGGTGTTGAACTTCGTGTTGATCCAACAAGGTTTTCTACGACTTTGGCTTCTCAGTTATTTAGCCATTTCTTTCTGCAGATGGAGCTCCTGTCTCATCAACAGTCATAACAAAAAACTTTCTGTTGCCTGTATGTTTTGTTATACAGTAAGGTTTCCTATTCTTCTGTATAGTGCCAGGTATAAAAAAGTTTATGTCCCTAAATGTCTGTAGGCTTGTTCTTTCTCTGTGTCCTTGATACATATATTTTTTTAAACAAAACGAAAACGCATCAAAAAAAAAAATCCCCATAGAACAAAAGGTTTTCTTAACAGCCTGGGGGATTTTTTCTGTGCCAAAGCTGGGGCACTGGCTCCAGGCACGTTTCCTGTTCAGTATTTCTGTGAACTGGATTGATGTACCTCTTGGCTAATTAAATGCTTTACGAGTAAAAGCTATGTATAGAATTTTAATTGATAAATTGGAAGATCTTCAATTTCAACTGCTTTTGACAGGGAACCCTGCTCCACTTCGGCCTTCAAAGCTGTTAATCTTTAAGCAGGTCAGAAGTTGAGAGCAATCTAGTACCAGTTATTTAATACATTTTTAAGTAAGCTCCATCACATGAAATAGATACTGTTGCCTAGTTGGTTGATTTATATTCTTTTAATCCTGCATTCACCTTAGTTCTAGACCAGTTCTTTACAAGCTTGGTTAATTGAAGTCTCACTATGACCAAACTCAGTCTACCTGTCCCTGTAGATTACTGACGGTACCTCAGGCCATCTGCGTTTGGCTCTGCTGACGTGACAGTGTAGCAGGGCAACAGTGGAGAATTGTGTACTCTTACACTTCTGCGACCCTCAGAGAGAAACAGGTTGCTTTTCTTCTGGAACACTAACCAAGAACAGTGACCTCAACATTAGCTGCAATTGAATTAAAGAAGGTGTGTTAAATTCTCCTGATGTGAGGTACTGTTACATAGAAACATCACTGCATATTCAAAGATTGCATAGTGCTTCCGTCACCAATAAAAAAAAATTAAGTCCCTGTATCTGAATGTGTTAATTTTTTTTGTTTTATTTTATTTTTCCTTCTCCAAATCTGGGAGCAGTAGTACAGACCAATGCTCATCTGTGTACATTCACTTTATAGGTCAGTACTCAGCAGCCAGATGTGAAGCAAGCGGAGCTCAAGCAGGCTGATTCAGAACAGCCAAAACCCACTGAAAATGTACCTAAAGCAGTACCTACGGTAGAAAAGACAGACCCACTGCAGACTAAAGGTGAGATGGAAATCACTATTTTACTAAAAATAGGTTAAGAACATTTGTGATTTAATTGAACATTTAAAAAACATTTTTTATAGACAAGATTAAGATAGAAAAAGTGACACCAGTAGACTGAACTTTGATTTTCCACCTGTGGAGAAGAATAATATCTATTTGGCCTTTCTTAACCAGCATTTCTACTGATTTTCAAGTATGTTTAAAATTTGCTTTCTCACTAAGTTCGACACATCGCACCCACCAGCTCTCCATACACAATAGCAGAAGGTTAGGCTTTAAAAAAACATATACCCACTGAGCAAAATGCACTTATGGAAAGTGATACACAGGAGATCAGATTAGTTAACCCAGCGGTTCCTTTTGGCACTGAACTTTCAGAAACTATTAATTTCAATGAACGTATCCTTGTGCACGAATCTCATGTGTAATACTGTGTGTGATAGAAATACAATTTCCTATTTAATTATTCTTACATGCTATCTTAAATTACAATCTTGGGAGCATGCAACTGTCATTTTAGAGAGCTGGCAATTGAAGACAACATCTATAGGTAGTTTATTCAGGCAAACTTTATAATGAATTTTTAGTTAAAAATACAGATACACAGGAAAAAGGGTATGGTAATATCTGTTAAAAGTAATAGCTGTCCTACACTCCCTCTTCATATTTAAGAACAGCCTTGATTAACTTGCAAATCTGCCCTTGTGACTACTTCGTCCTGAGCTACTTCTGAACACTGAATCAGTTCTATCTTTAGTAATGAAATATAACACTTGGAAGGCTGATGGTTATATAGCATGCAACAGTTTTTATTTAAGATGCTCCATTTCACCTGCCCAGTTTATTAACTGCATATACAAGAATTTTAAGTAGGTAGAAACACAAAACTGTTGAAACAACATCTCATCCTGTAGCTGTTCCCCACAGGAGAAACATGGGTTGTCTTCTTTTTTATTTTTAGAGCTGATGTGGTTGAAAGGTCTTTTTTTCGGAGGAAAAACAAGAATTGAATGAGAAAGATAAAGCAATATTTATTAAAGGATTTTAACTCGTGTGACCGCTGAAAAGCATTAGTTGGTTTTTTTTACTCAGAATAATTTGTATTGTTTACAGAACGTATAAATAGCCTAGCTGACATCAGAAAACAGGAGCCTAAGGTAGAAGAGGAGAAGCTTTCCAGTCAACTGAAAAAAACACAGGATTCATTCAATGCTGCTGGAGATCATAAGGATTTACTGCCTGAGTCAGAGAAGGAGCTGAATCCATCTGAAGATGAAAAGCTTGTAATTGGGCAAGACACATCACAGCTAGCAGCAGAGCAGGCTGCCAGCGAGGAGATTGAGAGGGAGCAGCTCCTAAGTTACGATGCAAAGCAGGATGACTCGCCCCCTGGGAAGGCTGGTTGGTAGCACGTTTTTAAGAACAGTAAATAAACAAAAGTGTAGAATTGGGCATGATTTCTGCAAGAGTGGTGGTGGCTGGCTGGACTTGGTGTAAGGTTTCATAAAGGTTTAACGTGAAATACACGAGGTTTATCAGTCCTGAGGAGTCTCCTACGGTCTGTGGGTAAAGATGGAGGCTCCTGTTTGTGCAACATGGAGCTACCAGGCTGGATTCTTCTGCATCACTGTCACAGCCTTCCTGTCTCTGGAGAATTGGCCTTTGGGAAATTAGCCCCAAACCATTTTGATATTGAGGTTTTATAAGAATATGATGCATTTGACAAAGAACTATCCAAAGCATTGATGAGAAGAGAGATACTACATATTGCAGGCAGCCTTTTTATAGCATTGGTGTGTAAGTGCTAGGTGTCCCTATTTCAAAACAAGCTAGTGTGAATAAAATTCTACCTAGGACTTCAGGTATGTAAAGTTTATTATTGTGAGCCTGCAGAACTGCAGATGAGATGTTGCAAAGGTGCCAGTTCCTGGCATCTGCCACAGATGAACCTCAAACACGTGTCTCCACTGCAACAAGCAGCAGAGTGTAAACGTTGTGCCTAACCGTGACCAGAATCTAGACATTTCTCTGTGTGTCTCAAGGAACTCGGTCTCAGGTGGACCCAGTAGCCCAGAGTAATCAAGAGGAAGCCTTGTGGCAGTCAGAGCAGGAACCGATGCCTGCCAGAAATACTGTTTGTGCTCTTCCAATAAATCCATTCTTAAAACCATGAATAACAACGTTAACACGGTGATAACTTCAGAGGGATAAATAATCTCATCTTCATTGCTAGAGTAACGTTTTTTCCAGCTGCTCCAAGAAGATGCAGGCTGTTCCCCAAAGAGGTGTGAATACATGTCAGCTACACTGATGCCATTTTAATGGAAATAAATAGCTGAAAGATTAGGTAAAAAAATCATCCAACAATTAGTACAAGAAAAAAACCTCTGCCATGTAACCTGTCAAAGGTCAGAGTTTCTGTGATCTAGAAAGACAAGCAGGATGTTCTTCAGGCTTGATTGTCCAACAAAAATACCATGCCTTACTGCTCAAGTTCCTTGCAGCCAAAAGAGCCTGAGGTTGTCTACGTTCTCTGAACATCCTCTCTCTTTCAATAAAAGCTTCTTTTAAAAGTTTGAGGTCTTTACATCTGTAACTGTAAAAATCCATTTGATGTGGTGGTCTGAACATGGACGACATAAAGCTAAAAATCTTCAAGCCTGTTTCTAAGCTGGTTACTAATTAGAGGACTTGGCTTAACAATGTTCAGAACTGTAGACTGTGGTCTCTCTCAGCTGGGGTGTGCTTATACCGCTGTGCCATTGTGTTCTTTTCTGGCTGTTTAACTAAAAAACAAGGGTAGTAGTTTGGCAATCTGAAATGCTTCCATTTACTTCTCAGCTGTCTCTATAAAGAAAAGATAGTGAAGAAATGTTGCCTGAGATGAATTAATCACTGGGTGAAGAGTATCTCTTACAGAAAAACACTTTTGTGTCAAGCTAGCACATTGTAAAATATTTTTTTTTTTACGCTATACTCACAACCTTCTGCTTGGTGGAGAAACTAAAACAAGAAGGCAGGAAGCTGAATTACACTTTAGCAGTACTGGCAGTACATTTAAAAGCAACGCCATAGTCATGTTTTCAGCATTGACTTCAGGTTTTGCTCTTCCTTAGGCTGCCCTTTAATGTATTCCAAAATTGTTTAATGCTTTTCCTTTCTATTCATCTGAGTAGCTAGCTGAATTTTATTACACTTGCCAAATTCCACAAGATTCTGTCTTTTGTCCGGTTCTTTGGGTAAGATTTATGGCAAAAGCTGACTGAAAATCAGCAGTTCCAAAGGACAAATAATATGAAAATCTATTTTGAACAGCAGTTCATTCAGCAGCAAAGTAAGTTCTGTGAAGGACAGTTAAAGTAACTGTTTCTTGTCCAGATGATCTTATGGTACAGGGTAAAACTAATTAATGTTTTTCCAGACAAACAAGACCGTGAAGCACTGAACCAGGACAAGGATGTTGATTACAATTTAGATGAGAATGAAGCTGAATCAGAAACGGACAAGCAAGCAGAACTTGCAGAGATTGAAAATGGTAAAAAAGGGGGGAAAAAAAATCATAACCTAAGTACCACATGCCAAAAATCTTAATATGTCATTTTGAGTGGCATCCTGTAACAGACAGAGCTAGCTAATCTCTGTTTGTTCTTTGAGCCTTCTCATGTGTTTACAGCGTGACCTGTTTTCTGTTTGGCATCACTGAAGGTATTGTTTAGTGTGTGGTGGGGGGTGACAGTATCTGTAGCTCTACTTTACAGTACTCAGCAGTCCTTCAAAAATTTCTCCTGCTGTATTCTAATTGTTTTCTAAATGAAGTACTTTTACTTCTGCCTCTTTAAGTGATTTTTGTACCTTCTTTTTTTCACATGTAGTTCAGAATTCTGAAGATGGGAAAAACCACTTATCTGAGCACAGTGAAGAACGGCAGAGGTTGTGAACAAAGAAAGTTCATGATAGTCACCTCTTCATACAAATGTAGCAACAACGAGAGCAGAGTGATCTGAGAATGTTTTGATGATCTCAAGGCTTCAGTAAAGGCCTAAATGAAGTAGTTATTTTCTTTTGAAGTTTTAGTACTGTTTCAGTGGTGAAAAAAAAAACACCTTCAATCTCTGGAGGCTTGTTTTAAAGCAGCTTGACCTCAGCAATGACTCTTCCCATCCTACTGATAACAAAATTGAAACCAGCTAGCACTAAGTCTAGTAATTTTGAAGTTGGCTGACTTGTACAGTCATACTACAGTAACAGCATGTGTGGGTTGGTAGTAGATAAGAAAGCATCCTCTGCTGAGGAGAGATCTCTCTTCCCTGTGCAAGGCAGTAGACAAATCCCCAGCCTAGTTTTAAGAGGAGCTAACTTATCATGACAAAAAGTGGGAAAGGCAAAGAGCAGCCCCTGCTGCAGCCTGCCCTTGTGCCTAATTTGGGACATTTTTACTGCAGTTGAGATAGATTTAGAAAGCATGAGTGTAGCCCTTAGATAGTGTGCTGTGTGATGTGCTTTCCTGGGCCTCCTGCGTGGAATGCTATCTTACGCTATCTGTAACCAGACTGAAACACCGTCCTGGTTGTGGCCTTAGCTTTTAGGTTAAAAAAAGGATTCTGACAATAGTATGCTCTCACTAAGAGACTAGCCAAGAAGATTCTTCTGCAAGTGTTGTTGGACTTCTGTTCACAAGATCAGTACTACAGTTTTAGTTACAACTAAAAATTCAAACTCCTGAGCTTTTCATGACTAAGGGATCTGAAGTGGTGTGCTGTGACTACCCACTACTGTACTCAGCCACCATCTTCTGCTAAAAAGTAGGAAGGCAAATGTTTTCCATGTAGAACAGCAACCATCTCAGCTGTTCAAAGTGGCAAATCTTTTCTGCCGGTCTTCTGAAGAAGGAAAATCAGACTATTCCTTTACCAGAGGTCTCAAATGTCTCCCATGGCTGTAGCTGTTGTCAAAACCCGTGTTACACATAGTGTATCGTGTTGTTAATGGTCTGTAGTCTTTGTCTTCTCTGTAATTTGTTGAATGTAAGCCCAAAACTAGTTTACCTGCAATAACTTTGAAATTCCCTTTACTACCACAAGGGCACCCTTAGCAGCAGCTGTCCTGCACTGTGTGCAGCTATGTTTTTAAAGATTATATTCGTGTCTGGTCTCAAGGCTGACACACCTGTGTTTGGAGCAATCTTTACAAGCGTGAACCAGCCTCCATAAAGATAGCAGGGGAGCAGACAGACATGACTAACTTCCCAGTCACCAATTCTGTTTTAAGAGAAAACAAATTTGTCTTGGCTTTCTCTTAAGGTACTTCATTTTGTAACTACTTTTGTGGTATGTATGTCATTCCTCAGCATATTAGTTCACATCTCCTGTACTTAAAGATGTCTAAATATGCAAGTGAAGGGCTGGTTCTCTTGTGTATGGAAAGAGTATTAGTTGTCATCAAGTGAAAGGCAGAGCTCAAGTCAAGTGGTGCCTGTTGAACAGTTCATTGATAGACTTGCCACATGTAACTTGAATTCTTCCAAGAAAAGCATTAACTTCTAGTACTGAATTCTTGGTTACTCTGTTTTTCACCATTTAAGTCAGACTTACCTGGTCCAGACTACTACTGTCTAACAGGAAAAACAAACGCTCATCAGTAGGAAAGAAAAGGAGGCATGAGCATCTCTTCCAGCTGACAAGTACTGAGCAACTTGGGCTGTTACCCTTTTTTTTGTCCAAATAATAGTGTGTTCTAACAGTAAAACATTTACTGATACTCTGATTAAAAGGGGCACTTTCTTAATCTGTAAAGAATTATACAGACAAGATGAAATTAATCAGGAATTTAATAGTGATTGGTAAAGATCATTTATTCTAAGAGTATAAAACATACAGTACAACACTATTCAATTTGAATGAATACTGGTGAAATCACAAACAAACAAAATCCTTAAGGTAATTAATACATTGCCAGAAAATTCATTTAAAACACATTGTTTTGGCTGTATTTCTGTACAGTACCCAAACCTGACTGGGCTTCTCACTAGCCAGGTGACTGCTGTCCTCTCCATAAACAAGACTACCTTTGTACAAAGCACACTTTTTATGCCTCTGACAGCAGAGGACCTGAAAACCCATGTAAGAGTTAACATTCAAAAAGCATAAAAGAATAAATCCTATTCTCAGTGGATTTGAGTGCTTCAGGGGTATAACTAGGGTAGTAGACAAGGGTCCTGCAGATCTTGATTCTGCAATTCTGTATATTAAGGGACTGGTAGTTGAACAAAAAGGAGATTCATTTGGAACTATAATTTACACAGTGTTGTCTAATTTTTTTAGTTGCTTGAGTTGCAGGGAAAACTTCTTTGCTGTAATCATCTTGGGGTTAAATGAACAATTGTCCTTGAATTTTTTTTTTTAAAAAAACCACCTAAGCCTAACCCATTTCAGATAATCATTTTAAAATAAAAATAACTTTCTCTACCATGTGTTCACCTTATTCTGTAACAGTTCATCCACTTTTAATGTTAATGAAAATACCAAAGGCTGTCCTTGAGCTGCTGTGATGTAGTTCCAAGACTTCTGTGACTTTTTACAAGAAGGTGAGTTCTCAGTACCTTGCACTAGAAGCAGTTCTGCTGTCTTTACAACTACATTTGCCAGAATCTTCATTACTTTGGCAACAATACAGAAGCATCCAAGTGTATTAATCGTGATAAGTAAACACATGAAGTGGTACACAGCCTCTTTAGCAGAGAAATCAGGAAAGGCTTCAGTACTCCTGCTTGTTTCAAGCTGCAAATTGCTGGCAGACCTATGGGTGTTCAGGTTTTACTGGTTTCCAGCTGCTGCTTAGGTGATGGAGGTGAAGTGCTATTACTCCACAGCACTCTATTTTAGGAGAAATGCAAACTTATGTCTTGCATGGTCAAGCTCTTCACTAGGGAGGAAGCCATTTTTTACCAAAAAGAATTGCCCTGTCGTACCCAGTCAAGCTTAGAGAATTTGCTTTTATGGCCCAGGTAAGACTTTGCAGTATGGTTTATCAGAAAGCAAGTAATCTTTTTAAACTTTTTTTTTCCTCTCATTGTTGCTCAACACAACAGTTTATTATTTCACATCTCAAAGCACAGGAGGAAGAACTGTTTGAGGAAGGAAAGGGTAGGCTTGGGATTTCTCCCTGTATCAAACCACAACCGAAGGCAGTGGGATCCAAAGCAGCATTACAGTCAAAATAAGAATGAAGGTCATGCAAGAGCTGACTGAGCAATGAAATAATTAGCAATGCCTCCGTGGCAATGGCAAAGTAAAAACAGCATTGAAATAAAGTTGCAGAGTGGTCACGATACACTCCTACGTTGCCTGCCTATGTCCTGTCTTGCTAGTGGCTATTGCAGCATTAGCTGGGCAGATTCTCACAGAGGAACTCGCTGTGCTACAATCACAGAATGGCCTTGGCTGGAAAGGATCATTTTAATCCAGCCTCCCTGCCGCAAGCTTGGCGTTGTTAGCGCCACGCTCAGCTGAGCTAACCGGCCCCTTAGTCCATTCCTCACTGTGTTCAAGGACAATCTCCTATGTTTGAGACAAAATACTTCCTAGACAAGCCACTTCAGTAAAAGAACACCCACTAAACTCAGTGCAACAACAGCTAAATGACTAGTTTTCATCTGCTCTTAATTTCTGTAAAGATTGGGTTAGCTTGCAGGATTGGGCAAATAAAGAACCCAGTCACAACTGTTATTAAATCCCTAAACCACCATTTTCTGTCAGGGCTCTTTCACAGAAATGATCTATGATTAAATCTGTAATAAATTCAGTTAAAATAGAACATTCTTCAACAGTACAGCTAACTAAAACCAGCTTCATCTGTAAAACTTTATACAAACCATTTTAAAATAGCAGTTATAATTCAAATCACATAACAGCAGTAGAACAGTAGTGTGATCCCGGAGACCCCTCTCAGTCTGGGTACAGCACTAGAAATTCCATTCTACAGCCGGTATCTGATATACAAATTATGCTTCAGATTAATAATCTCTTGTGTTTCAAACAAGCTTCACAACTGGAAAATATTTATGAGGGGAGAAGTCAAATTCTGGAGGAATCTAGAAGGAAAAGATGGAAAACATTAAGCAGCAGTACTACTGAATTTGATACTCAATGTGAGGCATACCCTGCAGAAAGAAGAAAAACTTTTACAACAGTAAAAGACTGGAATAAAAAGGTAACTCTAGTCCTTTAACATCTGAAAAATATTCCAACCCAATGGATATGCCCAGCCTCCAGCAGTGATGCACACAAAGCTGTAGAGTGCTGGTGCTCCTCTTCAGGGTGTGCCTTCACTCTTCTGCGCTCAGGCTTGGGCAGGAGGTCTGATGGCCCTGTGGGGCACCCACGAATCCTGAGAGCCAGCATCCTGCCGGCTGGGTTCACAAGGTGCTGACAATGCTGTTAACCCCACTACTTCCTCCTGCTCTTGGAGATGACATTGTACATGTCATCCCGCCTACTCTTTCTATGAAACACTTCAAGATGGAAGTTTTCTAGTAACTACAACCAACTATGTAAAAGAGAAAAATGGATTAAGTTACTTTTCCAGTTCTTTTAAGCACTGGAGTGACTATAGCCTGGATGGGCTCATCCAGCCATAGAAAATCTGTGGTAGCTTTGTGTCTAACACTGCATTTCACATTCAATTCAACTGACATCTTCTTACCTTGGAGTCTTTTTTGTGGCCTCCTGCCAGCAGCTTCATAACCACAATATTAGGTTTAGCAACTTTTAGGATTCGATTGACCTAAACACAAAACAGCAGGAAGTTTTCCAGTGAAAGTGTATGACCTCAAAATTATTTCAAAGATAATACTCGAATGTTTACAACACATCAGTCCTCTTAGGAGCATCACTTTAACAGAGAACAGGGCACTTTGGATTTGAGGTATAACAGCTGGAC